TACTTGAGATGCTATGTCAACTATCAGCAGTCTAATTGGGCAGATCTACTGCTGTTCGCTGAGGTGGCATACAATAATGCAGTGCACATAGCACTGGACTGAGCCCTTTTCAGGTAACCAGTGGCATGGAATTCTTTCCCATGCTAGAACTCCCCAGGGAGCCCCCCCTCATCCATGTCACTAAGCGAATGGATGGAGTCACTGAAGGAAGCATGGGAGAATACTAAGCAAGCTTTATGAGAGGTGGCAAAAACCCATAAAATGCAAGCTGACAAATGCCACAGCCCTCAACTGCCATTCCAAGTGGGGAGCAACATTCACCTTTCTACGAAATACCTAGAATTAAAACTCCCTTTCAAAAAGCTAGGACCAAAATACATAGTGGAAAGTAATCAACCCTGTTATGGTACAACTTAAACTCCCTCGCTTGTTTTATTTTATTTTATTTTATTTTTATTTGTTAGGGAAAGTGCATCCGGTTTTTCATAGCAGCTTGTTAAAGTTGGCAGTAGGTTCCCAGATCAGGCCAGTAGATTGGGCAGCTCCAAAACTAATAGTTTTGCAAGGGGAAATGCATTGTGAGGTAAAGAAAATCCTAGATTCTAGACTACATAGGGGATGTTTGCAGTACTTAGTGCAATGGAAGTGGTACCCACTATCTGAGGCTATCTGGGTCAAGAGCTAGGATGTAAAGGCAGACAGGTTGGTTAAGCAGTTTCATGACAAGTACCCCCAGAAACCTAAGGGGCCTCTGGGGGATGGACAGGGAGGTAAGGGTGAACTGTGAGTAACCTATCTGTGATTTCTTTTTTTTTTTTGCAGGAAGTCCTCTTCAATTAAGGGGAAACGCCTTTCAACCTGGAAGCTGACATGACCGAGGCCATTTTGACGCTTCAGTTTGCCACACTGGAGCTAAGGGATAGGGAGGTGGGAATAGAGATAGTTGGGGTATGTAGCCAAAATAAAATACTTTCTCCTAGGAACCAAGGACATTCCCACAGGTGGTCAGAGAGATGAGGAGAGATGTCACCAGGCAACAGGACGGAACCTTGATTGGACCATGTGACTTTGGGAAAGGGAAGAAACTTTTATGTTTAATTAGGTGAAACCCGCAGGAATATTCAGAGTCGGTTTTCACCAGCTTATTCCAATATTATATGTCCAATGAAACTATTCTTTGAGGAACCTACTTGCCTTGGAGTTTTGTTTGCTATGGGCATATTACTTGGAATCCTGACATTAATCTTATTTAAGAAATTTGTCTAGACAGATAAGATTTTTTTTTGAATATTTGCAATAAGATAAATGTTATTAGAATGAATATAGTTCATTTATATTTTGATGACCTTTTGCTCATTTATAGTATTTTAAATTATTTTACAGAAAATGGAATAAATTACTTGTCAAGGAGATCCTTTGAGGTTTTCATTGCCCAAATTAGAATAACCTGTTGAGAAAAGTGGATTTAATTTTGTACAATTTTTTATTATTATGGTCGGTCAAGCCAGATGTTTAGACTGGATTTGGCATTTTTATCTACATGTCGAGTCCTTCCCGAGGATCTATGATAGGCAGATGTTGTTTGAACTATTATTATTTTTACTCTGTTTTATCCTTTATTGTAGTATTTATATATATAAAAACTCAAGCAAACGAAGGGATTATGGCCTGGATTTTTAAAAATTAAACTTGTAGTTAAATACATATCTGGTATTTCTAATTACTTAAAACTCAAAAGTAACTCACATTAATAAAAAAAACGATACAAAGCCTCACAACAAGAATTAAAATAAAAAATATGTAATCTATTAAAATGTAGGGGAAAATGCTGTTTTGTTATTTCCCAAATACGGTGTCAATGGTGCCAAATATATCACCTTACTCTGGGAGTTATACTGGAGGAGGTCATCTGTTTACCAGATGTTCAAGCATCTGGCAGCAAGAGCATCTGCAAAAGGGCCCTCTTCTGTTGAACTACACAATCAGACAAGATATTAGGAGGGTTTTCAGCTACTCAGGGGTGGGATTCTCCCGGTTCGGATCTGTTCAGGCGAACCCCTAGCTCTGATGATCAGCTGGCAGTGAACCAGTTTGTTCTGACAATCATGTGGGCCCGCCTGCCCCTGTGCTGTACCTACCTGTATCCTCTCAGCTGATTTGCACGGCAGAGCGGATTGCCGCTCATAAGCTGTGTTACTCCCCAATAGTAACATAGCAGGTAAGTTTTTTCAGGAAGAGAGCAAGAAAGAAAAAATAAGGAAAGAGGGGAAGAAAGAATGAAGAGGGAAGGGAAAAGAAGAAAAGGATGGATGGATGGATGGATGGATGGATGGATGGAAGGAAGGAAGGAAGGAAGGAAGGAAGGAAGGAAGGAAGGAAGGA